TTCGACCAGACCAGCCGGCACACCTATCTCGACAGTCAACCACAACAGAGTCGACAAAAGTGAGCACCACCCTCGTTATCTACCATTTTTGTCGTTTGCATTTGATACTAACCAGATTTCCAGATGGGTGAGTGAATTTTTCCCTCGATAACTCGCACAATTTCCCCGTCGGATCGGTTGCAATGGTTTCCTGCGAACGTCGAACGATACTAGTTTGAAGAATGGGCCCTGGACGACAATGGCAATGGAGGATACACCGATAGCGAGAGAAGTGCGCAAGGTCTTTTGGAAATACGGAATGAGACTGTTCATTGAAGGAGGTCGAGCTATATTGCGGTCGCACATTGTCGAAAATTTTCAAGATACAGATCTGAACTACACGCACTATCGACTCTGACGTTCGCACGGGAATCACTGCAACTATCGAAGACGTTTTTCTATTCGATTCGGATATACTTGAACGAACAGTCACTGACTGGTTTGTCTCACAGGGCGTCTCACCGAGTACCAGGTCATCGGGCGTCACCTGCCCACCGAGGCTAACCCCACGCCCAAGCTGTACCGCATGCGCATCTTCGCGCCCAACACCGTTGTGGCCAAGTCGCGCTTCTGGTACTTCTTGACCCAGCTCCGTAAGGTCAAGAAGGCCAACGGTGAGATCGTCAGCCTCAACGTGGTATGTCTACTATGGGAAAGGATTCTTCGGTTAAGATGAGGTCGACTGACTTTGTCTCTTTTTTCTTGTTTGCTAGATCCACGAGAAGCGCCCTCTCAAGGTCAAGAACTTCGGTATCTGGCTCCGCTACGACTCTCGCTCCGGTACCCACAACATGTACAAGGAGTTCCGTGAGATGAGCCGGACCGAGGCTGTTGAGGCCCTCTACCAGGACATGGCTGCTCGTCACCGTGCCCGTTTCGGCTCCATCCACGTATGTTGAAGCGCATTCCTGAACAAAGGTTCATGAGATCTAACGAATTCCATGCAGATCCTCAAGGTTGTCGAGATCGAGAAGGCCGACACCATCCGCCGCCCCTACATCAAGCAGCTCCTCCAGAAGAACCTCAAGTTCCCTCTTCCCCACCGCTCCGCCAAGCCTGCTGGCAAGAAGGTCTTTGCCTACTCGAGACCCTCTACCTTCGCTTAGATATGACGTTTTGGGTTATGGGAGATGGAGTGTGCGGATCAATGACTATGTTATGGCCATAGCATGCAAGAAGGACACGGATCACGCGGAGAACAAGGCGTGTATCTACCGCCCAGAAGATGGGACGGATGTTTTTGATGTCTCTTTAGTCCTCTGCAGCGACCCTTGCAAGTTATTTATCAAAAAAATTACCGGGGTTCTTTTTTCTTTTTAATACCATGGTTCTATCTGAGAGGTAGTCCGCGTAGAATGTCTCTGCGTCTCTGCATGCAGTAACATATTACAGGCAGGGTGAGACCGGAGAAGCTCGGCAATTGAGTGACCGATGTACCACTGCACGATGTTTGACACCACGACACATGTGGTGACAGTCGGGCTATTCCGTACAGGTCTAGCTTCACTGTACGAGTCGCATATATTTAATGCCTTCTTCCTGGGACTTCCGTCGGATATCGCAAGACCATCAGCGCAATTTAACCCAAGGCTAGAAACTGTCAGTATAGCGTCCACCAAGGTCATGTCTCTGTAAAAACCGCAACTATAGCATCTTTATGGAACAAAACACTCAGCCTAGCATACAATGGCATTCATTACCGTCCTATCTAGAGAGAGGTACTTCCAATTATAAACCCCGGTCGATTACTAATGATCACAAATACCTTACCGTCAGGAACGGGTATTGCGTCATGCGGACCCAGTAAGTAAGACGGACAGTGGGATCCGGACAGCGAGAACTGACTCCGTACCTTAAGGTACTCTCTATCCACAGAGTACTAAGGTTGACCCTCCCGCCCGCTCCTCTTGTGTCTCTTCCGGTTCGAGTTATCCTTCAATTGACCACCAGCTTGTGTCAATTACATACACAATGTTTGCGCGTCAATCTCTCCGCTTTGCTCAGCCCTTGAAGCAGGTAAAATATTGGCTCCGAACCGCTTTGGATCTCGGTTCTAGGATTGGAGGGAGGACCTCCGCTGACTGACGCGCACGCAGGGCTTCCGCAAATACTCCACGGAGGCACCCTCCAAGGGCAAGTCTTCTCTCGCTCCCATCTACGTCGCGGTCGGTCTCACTGGTCTCGGTGTGGGATTGTACCGGTACAACTCTGCCAGCGCGGATGCTCCCCCTGCCGAGCGCCCGAAGGTTTTTACCGGCGGTGACCAGGGTTGGGTTGATCTCAAGCTGGCTCACATCGAGAATCTGAGCCCCAACACCAAGAGATTGCGTTTTGAGTTTCCTGACAAGGAGGCTGTCTCTGGTCTTCATGTCGCATGTGGGTAGACCTCTTTCCCTGGGGGTGTTGCGTTGTCTCATAGCTGACTTTTCGCCCTTTAGCTGCCCTGTTGACCAAGTTCAAGCCCCACGGCGCCGAGAAGCCCGTCATCCGTCCCTACACACCCGTGAGCGATGAAGGTACGCGCCGCTTGCCAGTGTATACCCGCAGTAATTGACTCCATTTCTGCAGAACAACCCGGCTACCTCGAACTCGTCGTCAAGGCCTACCCCAACGGCCCCATGTCCGAGCACTTGCACAGCATGAACGTCGACCAACGCCTGGAGTTCAAGGGACCCATCCCTAAGTACCCCTGGGAGGCCAACAAGCACAAGCACATCTGCCTGATCGCCGGTGGCACCGGTATCACTCCCATGTACCAGCTGGCTCGCAAGATCTTCAAGGACCCCGAGGACCAGACCAAGGTCACGCTTGTCTTCGGCAACGTCCGTGAGGAGGACATTCTCCTGAAGAAGGAGTTGCAGGAGCTGGAGAACACCTACCCCCGCCGCTTCCGGGCCTTCTACGTGCTGGACAACCCTCCCAAGGAGTGGACCGGCGGCAAGGGCTACATCAACAAGGAGCTCCTGAAGACCGTCCTCCCCGAACCCAAGGAGGAGAACATCAAGATCTTTGTTTGTGGACCTCCCGGCATGTACAAGGCTATCAGCGGACCCAAGGTCAGCCCCAAGGACCAGGGTGAGCTGACTGGCATCCTTGCAGAGCTGGGATACAGCAAGGAGCAGGTGTTCAAGTTCTAAGCAGCGAGCTTAGCTTTGTACAGAGGCATATTTGACCGCATTGCATCGTGTTGTGTAGAAGTACCCTGTATCGAATGGGGTGTTAGAGCTCGAGTATCAAGATATTAAGATCAACATCTACATTATCTATGCTAAACGCCGGGTAATTCCGCGGGTCAACTCAACAAGACTTTCTGCCTTCCAGAACCATAGACACGTATGATGGACTCCAGGCAATGCTATAGCATAGATAAAAGGCAGTTAATCATCCATTGTGAGAGCTCGACCATGCCGCAAGTAAAGGCGCGACAAGGTAGGCAACTAGTCACAGTAGGGTAATTAACATTTGATTGCGTCGCATCGCCCTCGGAACCCTGTATATTTGATTTTAAAGACCGACAGGGTGATCTACCTCGTTGGTCTGATGGACAGCCATGGAACCAGAATAGCGCCCGATGGGCTGATGGGATATATATATATCCTGGGGCAGGGCTGCCCTTCGCGGCCATTACCCTCAACCACGAAATTACAGCCAACTATTTATTGGGCATGTTATTGATCAATTATAACTCGAAAACAAATGTATTTGTTATGCGATCGTCACTACTCAGTAAGAGTGTAATGCAAATGTAAAATCTACAGAGGAGTATGAGACGTACTTACTACCTGCAGAAACAACCCCGCTTCTTCAGAGTTCTTGGAGTGTAGGCCCATGAAGCGGTCAGTAGCTGTAGCGCAAGGCAGCCTTGCAAGTGAATGATTACGGGTAGTGAACGAGTGGGTGGGGGTCTTGTCTTCAGAGAGCCGGAGCAGGGTTGTTCTTTTTTAGCGCTTGGGGTAGTCTACGGAGTAGATACGGTAGGCATGGAGTCCAGTAGCGCCGTTACTCTGTTGTTACTTGTTCAAAGCAGGAGGAATCCTCCTGGAGGATTATCTACGAGCTGGTCTTCTGCTTGGAGGCTGCAGTAGGCTGCAACGGGTATTTCGCGTGCCTGGTGTGGCGGAGAAGAAGAAAAGAAATTATGGGGGAGATGTATCACAAGTTGGAGATTGATCCAGTGCCTATATTTGGACCTGAAGCCAAGGAAAGTGGGAAGTGGAATGCCTTGCCTACTGGTAGGAAGGTTGGCTAAGACAGAACTCCAAGATTGTTGTCGAGAAAACCCGGCGCATAGACTGGTCGCATGGGCTGAAGATGAAAAGGATTCCTGAAGCCCAGCGGGTTCAGGGGGGGCGGGCGCGCTGCAAGGGTAGTACTGCAGTTACAGCATCATGCCACCATGTTTAGGAATGGCCCTAGCTCGGGCGAAGCTCTGGCTTGCAAGAGCAGCAGCTGGGATTTAGGCGCCCGGAGCTGGGTTAGCAAGTAGCAGAACCGCGCCGAGCCTGAGCTTAGGGGAAGGCAAGCCCGAAGGCGTCTCAGACCTTGGGATCTTACTGTAGGTACAGTAGTCAGTAGGTAGCCGTGGGTGGCCCCCAGACTAGGGGCTACGGGTAAAGGGGCTCGTACAATGCAAACTGCGCAGCGCCCACCCATGGCCTACTCCAAGCACTACCTGGCTACCTGGCTACCTGGCTACTTGACTACCACCAGTTGAACTGACTGCTGAAGCTGAGTGATGGCCTCCCTCTCCCCCTAAGCCTAAAGCAGCGACCACTGGGCCCAGCGCTGCCCGCGGCCACTATTTAGGGCGCTGTGCTCCCGCCTCCCACCGCGCCCAACCCCGCCAGTTTCGAAAAATTATTTTCTCCTCTCCATCATCCTTCTCTCTCTTCCCTCCCAGACGCTACAGCTACCCTACCAATCAATATCTGCAGCTATCTGGGCTGCTGTTTCTTTTCATCATGTCGCGCAAGGATGATGCCAAGGCCCATGATGGCCAAGTCACTGTCAATGTTGATGACTTTACCAGAACCCGTGAAAGTGTAAGTCAATTCTCTTGTGTTTCTTCAGGAATGCTTTTGCGAAGATGCAAGCTGCACCGCACCCCCGAAAACTGGTGGTGGTTTCGGCGTCCCACGGCCGCCCACCCCAGCACATGCCTACGCCGACCGACGCGTCAGTAAACAAACCCAGCTGCACACACTCCCTCTCTACGTACTTACCCATAAAATTACCGATGCACTGAACGCGTGGTGAAGCTTACTTGTCAATTTTGCCCTTGACTTTGCTTAATCGATTTTTAATCCTCGTTATGCTCTTCCGTCTCTACTGCTTTGGTCCATTCATTCATGTTCGGCAATGGCTTGGTGCGGCTGTCCCGGCCTTCCGCCAGGCGCCCCTATCCTCGTCCTCCTGGGCTCTAGCGCGTACCTAAGCCTCGTCACATACCATGTTACTGTCGCCTCAAGAGTTTACCCAGCCTTGTAACTACAGCCCCACTAATATTTTCTCAGGTTCTGGTCAGCTTGTCTAATCTGCAGGCGGCCGTCTCTGATTTGACTCGCGCTTATATCAACCATACCAACACTGTGTTGAACCCGAGTCTCTCTACCCTTGACTTGGGCCACGCCAGCAACATCACTGCTGCGCTTTTGGAGAATGGATTGCTGGGCGCCCGCTCCAGCAGCCCTGGCGCCAAGTCCGAGGTTGGCGAGAAGAAGAAGCGCAAGCGCGCTCCTCCTGACCCGAACGCACCCAAGCGTGCCCTGACCCCTTACTTCCTGTACATGCAACATAACCGCCCCATCATTGCCCAGGAATTGGGCCCCAGCGCTAGGCCCAAGGATGTCTCCGACGAGGGCACTCGTCGCTGGGCTGAGATGCCCGAGGCGCAGAAAGAGGTATGACTATGATCCCCCACGAATGATTTGGTAATGCCCACTAACATCATCGACAGGTCTGGAAGAAGCTTTATGCTGATAACCTGGCTGTCTACAAGGAAAAAGTCAAGGCCTACAAGGCTGGTAAGCCTTGGACTGAGGATGACAACACCAAGGCGGCCAGTCAGCTCCAGCAGGATATTGCTGGCGCATCTGCCTCGGGTGGCGAAGAGTCCGAGGAGGAGCAGGAGGAGGAAGCGGAGGAGGACGAGGAGACGGAAGAGTCCTCTCCGGAGCCGGTCAAGGAGCCCACTCCGCCTCGTACCAACAAGCGCCGCCGCAGCGAGGTGAAGACCCCGTCCAAGAAGAATGAATCCCCCGAGAAGAAGAAGCGCACCTCTGCGCGCAAGGGCAATGAAAAGGACAAGGAGGAGGAACCACCCGCTTCGACTCGCAAGGCTGCTGGCGCCGACGCCAACGCAAAGCGCACCAAGAAGAAGCGCAAGAGCGAGGTTGGCGGTGATGAGTAAATTCGAAACAGATCTTGATTGTTCATAGTTGTCGTGCGCGTATACGGTGCTTGGGATGGATATACAGTTTGGCTTTGTGCATCTACTGGTTGATAGTTTGCTGCCATGTCTCTTGAATTCTAAAAGTTCAACCACTGTTTGTATTCAGGAAGGTTGGGCTAAGATATCAGCTGAATGGTTGTAGAGGGATTCTCAGAAGTCCAGCTCCTCCATCATACAACAAGTCTGACGATCATTGGTGTAAATATAAAGCGCTCCGTCGTGGAGGTAAGGAGAATTGGCTGTTAGTAACAAAATGACGGCCAACTGCCATAGGCTGAGCAGCCCTTATCACCGGCCTTATCTCTATCCCCACTCAGCATTCACATTCTCGGGCAGTCTCCCGTTATTGTTGGAGTCTGGAGTCTGGAGTTTAGTCTGGACTGGACGGGACTGGACCGGCGGAATGAATCCTTTAAATCCCATCGAGTGCCCCTCTTTCTTGTCTGCTTTTTGTTTCTCCATGTTTTGCCAATGCTCCGACATTGTTCAATTATATCTCCCTAGTATATAGTGGTACCCTTTCCTCATCGCCTGCACTTGGCTGCGGCGGTTGTGATTCGCAGGCCAAGACATCTCTTCCTACTCCGTAACCCCGCCCGACTGGCTACTGCGCTGTTACCATGCACCTAATCCCCAAGGAGGTACGTAACAGGGACTTGGCTATCTACGGAATACATCCACAATAGAGTCAGCACTGACAATTTTGCACTCGCAGCTGGACAAGCTCGTCATCTCGCAATTGGGATTTCTCGCCCAGCGTCGTCTTGCACGCGGTGTACGACTCAATCATGCAGAGGCAGCGGTATGTATTTCCCTCTTTTCTCATTGCGCGATACCTGGGGTAGGTTAATCAAAGCTAACGCCGGGCCAGGCTCTTATTTCATCGAATCTTCAAGAGGTATATTCCCAATCGAAGCTGGACGCTTGAGATCATCACGCTTACTCGCCGCAGCTGATTCGCGATGGCCACTACTCGGTGGCCGACCTCATGTCCATCGGCAAAACCATGCTCGGCCGTCGCCATGTCCTTCCCTCCGTCGTACATACTCTCGTCGAGCTCCAAGTCGAAGGAACCTTCCCCACAGGCACATATCTCGTGACAGTCCACCATCCCATCAGCAGCGATGACGGCGATCTGGAGAAAGCGTTGTATGGCAGCTTCCTTCCCATTCCACCGGCGGATACGTTCCCAGATCCGAACCCAGACGACTACCTCCCGGAGAAGATGCCAGGTGCTGTGCTGCCAGTGAAGAACGAACGGATTACTCTGAACGACGGCCGCAAGCGCATCAGGCTGAAGGTGATGAGCAAGGGCGACCGCCCGATCCAGGTTCGTTCGGTGCCTTTCAGACAATGCGCGCACAGAATGCTGACAGCGAATAGGTCGGCTCTCACTATCACTTCATCGAGACCAACCCTCAGCTTCATTTTGACCGTCTGCGGGCCTACGGATACCGGCTCGATATCCCCGCTGGGACTTCGGTACGATTCGAACCCGGTGACACCAAGACGGTCACGCTGGTCGAGATTGCCGGGAATCGCATTATCAAGGGTGGCAACTTCATTGCTTCTGGAAAGGTTGATATCAGTCGAGCCGAGGAGATCATGCAGCGCCTGCAGGTCGAGGGCTTCGCTCATGTCCCCGAACCCGCACCGACCGCGGACAGTGCGCTGATTACGCCTTTCACGATGGACCGAGAAGCTTATGCGCGAATGTTTGGACCCACTACCGGTGATCTGGTCAGATTGGGGTTGACCAACCTTTGGGTTCGGGTCGAAAAGGACTGTACGGTTTATGGAGACGAGTGCGCGTTCGGCGGCGGCAAGACCCTTCGCGAGGGTATGGGCCAGTCCTCGGAGAGGTCTGAAGCCGAGTGTCTGGACACCGTCATTACGAATGCGCTGATCATTGACTGGAGCGGAATCTACAAGGCTGACATTGGTATCAAGAATGGGCTGATCTCTGCTATCGGCAAGGCTGGCAACCCGGATATGATGGACGGCGTGCATCCGGACATGATCGTGGGCTCATCCACCGATGTCATTGCGGGAGAAAATAAGATCGTGACGGCCGGCGGGTTCGATACTCATATTCACTTTATCTGCCCTCAGCAGGTGGACGAAGCGCTTGCTTCTGGTATCACCACGTTTTTGGGCGGAGGGACCGGTCCGTCGACGGGCACGAACGCGACGACCTGCACGCCTGGACCCACGCACATGCGCCAGATGATCCAGGCGTGCGACAGTCTCCCGATCAACGTCGGTATCACCGGCAAGGGTAATGACTGCGGTGGCAAGAGTATCGAGGAGCAGATCCGTGCTGGAGCGGCCGGCTTGAAGTTGCATGAGGACTGGGGGTCAACCCCTGCTGCGATCGACACCTGCCTGGACATGTGCGACAAATTCGATGTTCAATGCATGATCCATACCGACACTCTGAACGAATCCGGGTTCGTGGAGCAGACCGTCAAGTCTTTCAAGAACCGCACCATCCACACCTACCACACGGAGGGAGCCGGCGGTGGCCACGCACCCGATATCATCTCCGTCGTGGAGCACCCCAACGTGCTGCCCAGTAGCACCAACCCAACGCGCCCCTTTACCATGAACACCTTGGACGAACACCTGGACATGCTGATGGTCTGCCACCATCTATCCAAGAACATCCCCGAGGACGTCGCCTTCGCCGAGTCCCGGATCCGCGCCGAGACCATCGCCGCCGAGGACGTCCTCCACGACCTCGGCGCCATTAGCATGATGTCCTCGGACTCGCAGGCCATGGGCCGCTGCGGCGAGGTGATCCTGCGCACCTGGAACACCGCGCACAAGAACAAGGCACAGCGCGGACCCCTCAAGGAGGACGAGGGCACCGGCGCGGACAACTTCCGCGTCAAACGCTACATCAGCAAGTACACCATCAACCCGGCCATCGCGCAGGGCATGTCGCACCTGATCGGAAGCGTCGAGGTCGGCAAGCTCGCCGACCTGGTCATCTGGTACCCCAGCACCTTTGGCACCAAGCCCGCCCAGATCCTGAAAAGCGGCATGATCGTCGCCTCGCAGATGGTGCGTCTTCTAGCCCCCTAACCACCTACTGAATCTTGCATCGTCATACTAACGACTCGACCACAGGGCGACCCCAACGGCTCCATCCCCACCATCGAACCAGTCATCATGCGCCGCCAGTTCGGCGTAAGCTCCCTCCCTTCGCACCCTGTCATCAACCCATTACTAACAGGAGTCTAGGCCTTCGTCCCCAGCACATCCATCATGTGGGTCTCCCAGGCCTCCATCGACGACGGCATTGTCCAGTCCTACGGCCTCAAGAAACGTATCGAGGCCGTCAGGAACTGCCGCAACGTCGGCAAGAAGGACATGAAGTTTAATGATGTCATGCCCAAAATGCGGGTTGATCCGGAGAGTTACGTCGTCGAGGCGGACGGGGTGCTCTGCGAGGCGGAGCCCGCGGACGCGTTGCCCTTGACGCAGGATTACTTTGTTTACTAGTGCATGCACTTGAGCTTGCACTTGTACTTGGGTTGTGTTGTTGTTTTTATACCACGAGTTATTTGTTACCTAGCATCAGCGTATGAGTGATACCTATACATAATGATTCACGCAGTATATAGTCACACCTTCATCAGTTATCAACTGCCATGATATATACATCGTCGTAAATGACTACAGTTCAGTTTCCTCCATGCTGTGATTATCCCCCGCCGAGACAAGCCCCATACTGGCCCACGCGTCGTAGCTATCCGCCCGCGCAGCGAGATATGCCGCGCGTCGCGCACGCGACGAGCTCGACCTGTTCAAGATCCGGGGTTGTCCCGGTGCTCCCTGCGAGGACGGCGGTATGTCGACGTCGACGTCGCCGGGGCCGTCCTGCTGGAGAGAGCCGAGCGTTTGATCCTGCGAGGCGAATGCGGACGAGGAGATGGAGACGGTGTTTGTTGCTTGGCTGTTGGGCAGATCATTATCATCATCGCCATTGTGGTTGTAGTCGTGATCGGGCTGTATATTGTCTTGCGTCGGAGTGCGTGTTTCATCCCCTGTTTCAGAGCTCTCCCTATGCGGCAGGTGGAATCCATCTTCTTCCGCTGTGGGCCAGGAGGATGGGAGGGTGCCCAGGCCTATCTCCGGATGGCGGGGTCTCTCTGCGTGAAGGAAGTGCCATGCGCGACGGATCTCATTGCGTTTCGCTTTTGCTGCTTCCGCGGTGGATCTGGGGATTGGGAGGGGCTGGGGCGAGGTTTTCTCCGGGTTGAGGTTTATTGTGGCGTCAGGGACGGTTTCAAGGGAGGAGGAGAGGGTAGTCGTTGCGCGAGGGTGTGCGTGGAGTTGAGGTTCGCTTGTATTAGGCCTGGCAGTAGGACTGCGGTCGATGCTAGCGTCCATGCTCATGGATTGCTGTGTGGACTGCGTTGATTGATCATCCTCGTACCGGACTCTTTTCCTAGACTGCCATTCCTCGTCGTTGGCGATGGTGTCGCGCATGTACTGGTCGTGGACGAATTCGTGTCCAGAACACAGATGACCGAACAAGCTGCGCATGGATACATCTTCGTCCCATTCCAGTGCATCGACGGTGCATGGGTAGACGTCCCTGGGTTTGAACGCGGAAACCAGTTCACACAACTCTTCGTAGGAGGAATGGCGCGAGTATGGAAAATACTAGATCTCGTCAGCTGAGACCTCTAATTTCGAAACAACACTTCATACTACAGTCTTCGGCAGCCGATTCCCGACCGTATCTCGCAGCGTTGATACTTTCACATCGTCCGACCACATCTCCTTGTCGGATCGACCACGACCAAGGATGTGCACGAGCTCCTGCAGCGGTATGTCGGAAACATCCTTCATGCCATAGCTGTCCAGGGAAAGCGCTTTGTTCTTTGATTTGAAAGCTTCGGCCAAGGCCTGTCTCGTCTGAGAGAGCGTTTCAGGGTCGCCGATTTGCTCCAGACACAGACTCTCCAGTTGCTCCAGCGATGACTGATCTGGAAGTTCAAGCTCATGGGTCTGATAAAGATCGCCACCTCCCCCTCCTGCTCCGATCTCAGGCACTCTTGTGCCGTCATCCAGTCGTCCGACAATTGGCACGAGGTAGACGGTTCGCTTTGAGCGAACCGCAGAGCAATGTACTCCAGGCTCGCAGCTATGGACACGAGAGCTTTCGTCTTCGCTCAGACAACCGGGCACAAACCGGTTTCCAAGCTCAAAGCCGCAAAGAGCAGGTGCCTCGCTGATAGCTCTTCGCGAGTTCGAAATAAGTGACCTATACAGGCCAATCTGGTATCGATCAACATGGACCTGCGGGGTCAGTACAAAGCATTTATAGATCTGTGCGCCGTCACACACCTTGGTGTTCAGAAGAGCGGAAAGCGCTATCCAGACGTCTTCGTAACCAAACGTCCATGCTCGAAAGTAGAAGATCGTCTCCTTTGGGTACGCTTCGACCTTCTGCAGAAGCTCTCTCAGCCCCTCAGCTTTCGAGGGAAAGATCCGACAAACATGATTAATGCGAGCAAACGTCGTGTCGAGATATATCTTATCCAGCTTCTTGCTTCCTAGGGTGTACGGAATGAGAACCGGATGCCGGACAAGGCTGTCGACCCACCAACGCTCAGCTATTTCACTTAATCAGTATGGAACAGCAGAGAATTCAAAGCACGTACCGCGAACATCACCGGTGTAGAGCACCGCCTTGCCGTCACCTTCGATTAGGAACATCACTGCACCAGCACAGTGGTTCGCGTCCAGGAGGGTGACTCTGATCGACAGTAATGGTGTCAACTCAATTTCAGTTGGCGTATCCAAGGGAATCGGCCGCTGTGCATGTGAGTTGTCGGTAAGTTTGGAGTAATAAGTGAAGAGCTCTCACCAGAAGCTTGGTCAAATGCTTGTAGTGCAGTCGGCGGGACTCCAATATCCCCTTGCTGAAGTTCATCCGGTGGGGGTACTTTTCAATGCGCAACAACAATTCTCTAGTTGCAGCAGAGCAGTAGATAAAAGGCGCCCGGAAGGACTCGAGGCCCTGTAGATGATCACTGTGCACATGGCTTAGAAAACATGCCAGTGGAGGCGGGCGTTCGGGGTTCTTTCGAAAGTAGTCGACTACATTATATTCAGCTCAGTACGCTGAAGACAGCGACAGAGATAATCTCGGCTCACTTTGTATGTAAGGAAACTCTGTAGAGCCGTTAGATAACCTGCTATAACTTTTCCTGCGTGGTGGCCATACCTTGAACTATCCCGTCGAAGGTCGACATCTGGTGTTGACGAGCGCTATTGTTCTCGTACTCGTGAGAAACATGACCAAAAGCTAAGTCTGAAAACTAATCCCGCAATGATACCAAGGGCTGCCTCCTGAAGAGCATATGGTCGTGAAGGATGAAGCAAGACGACATGATTCCCTTCTTCAAAAGGGTATCATCACGTGACTTCATCCACGAAAGTGCCTGGCAGTTTGAGTACACTTTTTGTTGTCAGAGATGTTTGCCTTCAATCTTTATCATATCTGTGTGATCTAGATTCTTCTACCTCAATTTAGACAACGGGGAATATGCACAGCTAGGAAGGCTCGTCTTCTTACGGTAAAGAACATCAGATCGAATGCCAACCGACTAGTCAGCGCCGGTTTGTACAACACCAGCATCAGCACCAGCTCCATCCTACGTTGATTGTTTTTCTAACAATCCTGTACTGATACCTGGAACATCTGCCAACCAGGACCTTACATGGGTAGCGGCAGGAAGCAAAGGAATAAGTCCGACCATCGACCAAGTGGCCATGCAGATACAACATGGTGAGGCGAGTGGATGATAGACCCGCTCGCCAACACAGTCAAGCCCAGGAGAAGAGAACCACAGCTCCATTCTCAGGGTGATTGGGGATAGAATCATCTAACAAGACGAGACTGGTCCTTTTCTATGGTGTCTGCGCCCTTACTAGACGGATCCATCAAGGTTTGCAGCAATAATGACGCCGGTTTATGACGGAAACAAGTGCCCTCGTTGGCCCACAGCGTTGTTCTCCTCTCCTCCGAACTCCACGCAGGTTTCCCTTTTCCTTCTGATGCGCTGGTCAGTTGCATGCGTGTCAGCAGACAAATAGTCGTATCATCATAGTTGTTACTATTTGTTGTCATCGTCGCTGAGAAAAAAATAATCGCCGACAACAAATATAAAAATGTTTGCTCTCTTCCTCCCCTTCTCCGTTCTCTCTTACTCTTGTTTCAAACTCTCTTCGTCGGATCAATTCCATTCTCCTGATTCGCTAGGGCAATAAAAGGCATTCCTGAGGCTGATCTACACTCTCGATTCATGATGTATTCCTCCTGTTAGAAAGCCGGCTGATCTAGACTCGAGGCCTGGACCGTACTTGAAGCGAAGGCTTCTCTACGGCCTAAGGATCCTTTCCCAGTATCATCAAGAGTTCTCCCTTTGACTACTCGAGTTGATATGCAGTGAGACAGGATACACGACGGAAAAGTCAAAGGAAAGCCCAATACACTTGTGGTCTTACACCGTTATCTGCGCCATCGTCATCGTCGTCATTATCCGTTGTGTGAGATTTGTTACGATAACGACCGCAAATAGTATCAAACTCCACACTGGACCCCGAGGGACGGTCTATATCAGCTCTACCTTAATATCGACTATTGTTTACAAACTTCCCCTTTTTCTTTGTCTCTTTTTTACCGGCCTCACGCCTAAATCGCCATCATTTGCAGTTTTCCTGTACGCACTGCGTATTCCCTCGGCGCATTCCCCTATGCATACTAACATCCGTGCATATTGTTCCCCTTGCTGATCTCTTCTCCTTGCAACTTGCAATATTTTATGAAGCGTGACCTGAAAACATTTTCAGCTCATTCACTGTCCTTTACAGTTCACCTTCCAACTGCTCCGACTCCTTACTCATTTGCCTGTCCATCTTGTTTGTATCTGAAACTGTTGTTATCAGATCTGGGATTGTCTCCTTTCTCCTCATCTGGTCGCTCACCGCTCCTCTTTCTCCGCACTGTGTAGTTGGGGGTTCTTATTTCGTCAACCTGACGGACTATCTTACCCCAGAATCTCAACTACCTCAACATCAAACCACTGCAGCCTCATCGACCATGCATAAACCTTCCCTAGCTCAAATTGTGCACAGCGCAATTTTTCCACGCCCCCGTACTAGTGATCCGGCTACTTTCTCAGCTCACATCACTCGCAATCTTGTCCCAGAAGTACGGATAGAGACATCGACTTTCTATGGATCACTGGACAGCATCGAAGCCCAATATCCGGGCCTTGACTATTCCTACGGCCCCCACCGCATGAGATTGAGCCGTTTTCCATGGCATCGAAAGCTATTCAAAGTCTTTGACGAACTTGGTCTGACGGAAGCCGAAATCTCATCGCTCTGTAGATGGGAGGGAACGAAATCCGCGCGCGAACGTTACGAGAAGGAAGAGGGCATCAAGGTGCGAGACACAACTGCCGAAGCCATCCGACCGGCAACGCCGTCCCCGCGGCCTTCTGTTGAGATCCATTTCAACGGCAGCTCAGATACGGTCAAGGAACCTGAGGTGAAGGTGGACGAACCGTTCGAGGATGTCATCAACACTGGCCACGCCGTTGACCACCGTGGAGTTGACCGTTTGCCGCAAGTACACAAGGTGGAAGAGGACTCCAGCGACGAGGAGATGGAAAGCTGTGGGGTGGAATTGAACCATCGTCTGCTGGCGGCTACTGCAGCCCGAGAGCAAGGTGTCAATGTCCCACTCGACGAGGACTGGGAGCAGTGGCTGAAGGAGGCCGGGGAACGCGGAAGTTACGCAGACCTGATCAATGCCATCAGAACGGGCCAGCCGTTGAACTTTCTGTCCCACATGGCTACACCCTTGGCCCAGTTACGTCGGACAGGCATCACACAAGTCCCGCCATCACTCCCAGAACGTTTCATGACTCCAGCGCCGCCCAGGGTGCTTTCTTCAAATCTTGGCATTCAGCGCCCTCCCAACCCTCCTCCAGGAACTGCACGATAAGAAAAGGCAGCTCACTGGTCTTGGCTTTGTCCTTTCCTCATTTGCGTTACAGATATTGCTAGCGGGCTGGTTTCGGTTTTCGTGGTGCATTTACGGCGCTTTCGCAGTTGTCTCTTTCGTCTCTTTATCATCTTTGGGCGTTTCCTAATAGTCCCCTTTTCTGCTGTTGATAGATCGTTCTGTTTCTGTTTTTCTTCGTAATCGTCTCCAGTGCTCTTCCAATACCCCTCAAGTCTTTGTCCATTTGGGTCTTTTTGTTTCAGCGTCGCAAAAATACCGACTCCTTTTTTCTAATTTGATAATGGTGTGAAATATTCTCAGTTGAATTTGAACCAGACACTGGACAGCAAATGCGGTAGAATGTTAACCAGAATTGATAATTTGGTTGAAGGCAATCGCTTTTTCTGTTCAACGGCTTAAAAAACGCTGGGTCGGGCAATGGGGAGATTATCAAAAATTCCATGTCTGTTATCTTTGAGCATGCTTGGAGCTACCTTATGCTATCTCCGTGTCTAAGCTCCCCGCAGCCTTCACCTGCGATATCATCCCCAGAGCCATAGCACCCTGACCACTTTCATGAATTATTGCCATGGAATAGAATTAATGATACGGGCATAGAAAAATGCTGTGATTATGCTTCCAGCTGCCTAGCTGATTCTCAATCCAATGACTTTGATAATTGCAGTCCCGCACCCTGTTCTTCATAGCTTCGACTCATCATGATCAGGGCCATATTCTACAGCAAATTTGACACCCAAGAGGGTAATAATACAACCCATCAATCTCATAACCAAGACCTAAGAAAGACTGACCGTTCCAGGCCCCAAGGTTGTCCACCAAGTCCCCGACGGAGCGATCGTACCCTCTGCGACTGCCCCCTCGCAGCCTCTCTTCCTGACCTTTTCCGACATCTCCTTCTTCGTGATCCCCCGGCAAGAGCTCTGCGGCAATCTGATCCAGGTGTGCACAAATGGATACCGGATATTGGGCTACCCGATCTGCATGAAATCGCTCCGGTACGACCGCAATGAATTCATCTTCAACTTCTGCCTGGTGCTGGCCGAGGAGGAGGACTTCAGCTCGTACAAAAGCGTGGTGCAGAAGCTAGCGGATCTGATGCATGGACTGGAAGAACAGAATGGGTTCTTGTCCAGGGATCATTCGAAAAGCGGAGAGGGGAAGGTATACAGTTTGTGCGAGACGTTGATGGAGGATTTGAATAACTATTGCGAGTGCATGATTCCAATAGGTACATTGCCTTTCTCGCGAGGATGAGGTGGCCCTGATCGCTGACAATCCATGCAGATGAATTGAACACGCTGAATATCAAGCTGTTCCCTGTATACCCTGCTCCTCCACAGGTGCGAGCTTGGCAGGTCCCTCTTTTCACGGTCCGATACCAGACGTTTATGGATGAGAATTGGGATCTGACCATGCAACGGGTACGCCTTCCAACAGCTACGTCTAGAATGAAGCTAATACAGGATAGATCGTGCCGCATATCAATGGCGTCAACAGCATCCGCATCATCTCCATCCTCGCAGATACTGACTTCTCCCTCACCTGTCGTGCGATCCGCCATCTCCTCTACTACGGCTGTCTATTCCTGCTAGACATCTTCTCCTTCTCGGCAATCTACGCGCCCACCGCTCAATTCAGCTCTACCATCGCCTCCGACGAAGAAATGCAGCGCGAATGCGCCCGCTACATCAACACACTCTTCGCCCAGTCCCTAACCGGCCACGGGAGCACCAGTGCTGCCACCGCACCGTCCGCCTCGACCTCCGCCCTCTCGCCCGCCGCCCACGGCCTCACAAACGCCCACGTCTCCGGCATATCAGGTAACCTCGTCGGCCTTTCCAAGTACGACCCGGACTCCGTGTGGCCCCCGGTAGCCGACTACCGCGATCGCCGAAGCACAAGCCGAACACCCAGTCCAAGCTCGAGCTACCGCTCCAGCACCACAACTCCCTCAATCTCAACCATTCTCCCAGACGACCACGACCCCACGCAGCCCCCACCTCACCCGGAAATGGTGGATGGCGTGGGCATCGTCGAGCTCTACGCAAGCCTCAAGCAAGGACAGAGCGTGCGGCAATGGTACGCCCAGAACAGCCGCAAGCTCGCCCACATCGACATCCGCCGCTTCATCACGTTCGGTATCATCAAGGGGTTTCTATACCGCGTCCACAAGTACGCCTACGCGACGGGCCAGCCCGCCCCGCAGCTGAAGTCCTCCCATCATTACCATAACTCGCAATCGCAGCCGCCATCGGGACTCTCGTCCCGAGGACCGGGCACAGGGACGAATAGCCCCTATGCGTCGAGTGTGGGCGATGACGCGGCACCGATTGCCCAGCAGCAGCAGCATCATCATCATCACCAGCACTCTGGACAGCGTGGGGATGACGGGAGGGAGCATGCAACCTCTGTGCATAGCGGGAGTCGCTCCGCGGTGGTCTTTGACGACGAGGACGAGGAAGAGCTCGTTGATAACAAGACGCTGTCCAAATATCTGGACGGCATGCATTGTTTTGATCAGATTTGTACTGAGCTGGAGATCAGTGAGAAGGACCTAACGGCGGCACTGAAGAGATACCCCGGGGAGGTCTTGATTATACACCGATGACGTTCTATATGCTACGAGAATAATTGATACCCAGTTACGATGATCTAAATGCTACAGCGCCTGATAGGAGATGCAGATGTAGATTATTCCACCAGGGAAATAAATTTCATTAGTCATTCGTCTGGCCACCAGCAAAAAGCCCAAACCAGGTCACAACCGCCGGTGCGTTGCCAAGTCCCCACAGGGGACAGCGACACTTGGCAGTCGCCGACATTGGCGAGGGTTGCTGCGTCTTTGACGCAGGAGATCGTAAACAAGCGCTATCACTGTCTC